AGGACAGGGAGTGACAAGTGCCCACAGCCTCTCCTGAGGTCTGCCGGCCCACAGTGGCCAGCCCTGCTACCTGCCCTGCTCCTGCCGGGTCAGCTGCCTCAGGACAGCAGCTGCCTGGGGGCCCTCTCCCCCAAGGGTGGCCAAGGTGAGTCTCAAGAGGGGACAAGGGGCCGGTGGTGGTTGGCTGGTCACCAGGCGTGCTGATTGAGGCATTTGGGTGACACTGGCATCTAGGTGGAACAGCTTCATTTGATGCACTTTTTAACCCCTGATGGAACTTTCTGCTTCTTTCTGACTCCTGGGTTCTGCTTACAACAACACCAGCTGAGAAACTGCTGTGACTCCATGTTTGAGAAACCAGCCTCTACCTCAGGGCAAAGCCTGTCCAAGGAAGGGGGCGTGACCCTTGTCCTTGGAAAGACCCACAGAGCCCTCCTAGGCACATAACCACCCTGCTGAGTTGTTTGTCTGCAAATAACAGGAGAGGTCTGCGGTGCCAGGTGTCCCTGACTCAGTCAGGCTAGGTGAGACCCATAGCAACACCCTAGCAACCACCAATCAGCATGAGACAGGGAAAATGGTGACCCCCCAGTAGTTTATGGTGGTTGATAACATGTTGGGAAACCACGTAGTTTAGCAGTTCACCCCTCGTGGCCTAAACCAATCAGTTCAAAGGAATCCCACTGCTGTACTAGCCAATCACCCCTACCTAACTTGTTCCCGCCAGTGAATGATCTAATCAACGTTAAGAGTTGTTGCTTGACTTTCCCGCGGTATGGAATGATTTGCTGTGTGATGTTGTGACGCATAGAGTATTCCCCAAAACCTATAAAATCTCACTGAACAAAGGACCGGGACTCACTCCCTGGGACCGCTGTGTCGGAAACGGTTGTGAGTCCAGGCTGGAGCTTGCAATAAAGACTCTTGTGTGGTTGCATCGGATTTGGCTCCTGGAGGTCTATTGGGGTCCCAGGAATCTGGCATTATACAACTCTCGGCAGGTATTTGTGGAATGAATGACTTGAAATGCTGGATAAGAATCATCTTATTTTTCTGCCCATTTTATTTCACTTTTGCATTTCTGGTTCAAAAAGAAAACATCTGTTCTTCTGAACGGTCTGCGGGCGTTTGGCCAAAGCCTGCCAGGCAAGTGCCCCAGCTCAAAGGGTAGGTTCCGAGTTCCGCTTCTGGGACTTCAAGTCACTGTGGAGTTTGAAACTTTTCATCTAATGTAGGTGTATTGGAGATAATTATGCATTTGGGAATATTATTATTCCCTGAAGCTCAAGTGCACAGTCGCTGCCTGTTTAATAAACACCTCGAGGTGGATGGACTTCACCTGAGAAGCGGAGCACTGCCCACTGCCCGGATCCCCCTGCTGGTCGGCATCCAGGTGTGTGTGGCCTCGTGTCCTGAAGCAGAAGTGGCTTTAGCTTCTCCGTCCCCTGCTGATTGCCATTATCAGTCACCTTCAAGGCTGTAAGTGTGGAGGTCCTCTGGAAAGGAGGGCTTTAAAGAGAAAGGTACCAAGCTGTGGTCCTTTGCAGAACCCTGAGGTTCAAACCACCACCACCACCAGTGGCTGTAATAAAGCATGAGGGCCTGAGTTTTTTGGAGTGGTGGTGTCAACAGGAATTGAACTCAGGAGCACTTGGCCACTGAGCCCCCTCCCCAGCCCTATTTTGTGTTTTATTTAGAGACAGGGCCTCACTGAGCTGCTTAGGGCCTCACTGTGGCTGAGGCTGGCTTTGAACTCGGGATCCTCCTGCCTCAGCCTCCCGAGCCTCTGGGATGACAGGCGGGCACCACCACACCTGGCTATTTGAAAGGAGAGATTATCCAGTCCCTGAAAATCTGGCAAAACACTGAGCCTGTTATTTTGGGGAAGTTGGTTGAAAACAAGGTCAAAGGGCCAAGAGCTGAAGGGCCACGATCACCATTTTAGTTTCTCTTTTCTGCTGTACCATGTTGGCATTTTAAAATTTTATTCAAAACTTTTGACATTATTTTTCTAAAAGCTCACAAATATTATTTATTATTCACTTGTTCCTAAACTCACTAGGAAGTGGTAGGGGTCTGTGGACAGGTGAGCTGCACGGAGCGGGGCTGTGTGTTGGGTCTGCTCTGGGGCTGGAGTGTCCCAGTGTGGCCCGAGGGTCCCAGCGTGTTCTGTTGGGGGTGGTGGAGCCTTTAGAGACAGGGCTCCTTAGTGCGAGGACAAACTCTGCCCTTCCTGGTCTGCGTTGGCCTCCCTTGTTCCTGGTCCATCATTTTCTCTCCCTTCACCTTGGGGAATTGGTCACCTGGCCGGGGTCCTTGGTGGCCCGGCCTTCCCCTCCTTGCCGGTTGGGGTTCCTGCCGCTGTGGTTTGAGTTTGTCCTTGGATATGAAGTTTTAGGGCCATCAGTTTTTCTTTAAAGCACTGCACCCTGGTTTGTGGGATGGGGAATTAGTATTATTTTTGAGCTGTTATGTAGTCTCCCTCTGAATCTGGGTTTCCCATTCCTGGATTCCACCGACCGTGAGCCAGAAATATTTGGGAAAACAATTGTGTGTGTCCCTGCCGGCCTGCCCCCAGCCCAGGAGCCTATCCTACAGAGAGGCTCGGGTAGGAATCCTGCGACGTGTGAGTGCAAAGGGAGATGCTGGGGTGGTCCAAACCCTCACAGGCTATGGCCGGGCTGTGAGCAGCTTCAGAGACTGGAACCAATCCCCAGGAATACGAAGGGACAACTGTAATTTATGTTTCCTGAAAGTAGCAGGTAAACGGGAATTAAAATAAATGCATGGCTTATGGAGTAAAAGTTAGATTATCGGAGTCCTCTGTGTCCGTTTTTAGACTGTGGAGAACAGATAGGAAGCCCCAATGTCATGAATAAAAGTAGAACCCAGGAGCTCCCAGGATAGCTCTGAGGGACCCTCTGCTCTCCACGTCCCAGAGCCTCCCATTTCTGGCGTGAGTTCTTCTTCTCACTATTGAGCGCGTTGAAACATGATTAGCAGCCTTTCACCTTCCTGTTAGCGGGGTCTGGCTCGCTGGGACTGCCTTCGCTCTGTGCGGTGGCGATGACACTACTTCTCTGATGTTTGCTGAGACTGATTACATGGCCTGTCCCTGGTCTATTTGAATAAGATGGTGACACGTGGGATGAGAAGAGACTGGATTCAACACTGGAGACGAGGTTCCTGTAACTGCACTTCACAGGCCTGTCTGCTACAGTGCTTAACCTGTCCCGCATGTAGTAGTTTTTGTCTGGTCTATCAGTTACTGAGAGTTGTGAGTCTAAAATCTCCCTTTATCCCGGGGGCTTGGGAGGCTGAGGCAGGAGGATTGCAAGTCCAAAGCCAGCCTCAGCAAAGGCAAGGCCCTAAGCAACTCAGTGAGACCCTGTCTCTAACAAAATAGGGCTGGGGCTGGGGCTTAGTGGTCGAGGACCCTGAGTTCAATCCCGGTACCCTCCCCCAAAACATCTCCCTTTGCAACACTCTGTTTTTCCAAACTTCTGTGTCTTCCAGTTTTTCCCTTACGAATTTTGAGGCTAGTCAGCAGCGTAGACATTTAGAATTTTGCATTTTTGTCAAGTTTCCATTAGGAAGTGAGTCTTCTTTCTCAGTGCCTTTCACTCCAGCTTTTATTGTGCTCATCCTTATATGTCAGCCATTTGGGACCCTGTGCCTCAGTGGAGTTTTCTTCCAAAAAGCACATAGTTTTCAAAGGGTGTGTGGAATATCGCCTATATCGTTACTAAGATTTTTATTTTTACTTTATTTATCTTGCTTTTTTAATATTTAATTTTTAGTTTTAGGTGGACACAATATCTTTGTTTTACATTTATGTGGTGTTGAGGATCGAACCCAGTGCCTCATGCATGCTAGGCGAGCACTCTACCACTGAGCCACAACCCCAGCCCCTTATCTTGCTTTTTAATTAATTTTTATTGGTTTCTGTTCCAAGTTTTTTTAAAATTATTTTTTAGATGTAGATGGACACAATATCTTTATTTTTGTTCATTTATTTATTTAATGTGGTGCTGAGGATCGGACCCAGGGCCTCACGTGTGCGAGGGGAGCGCTCTGCCACTGAGCCCCAGTCCTGTTCCAAGCTTTTTTAAAATCGATATATTTATTCTCCACTAACTAGATATAAGTAGAACCCTCTGCTTCTATTTCTGCGTGTGAATATGCATATTTAACTTATTCTAAAAATAATCTACTCTTTTTCTGTTCCCAAACTTATAATACTACAGCTCTCTTTGTTGGGGTTTAGCTATGAAATTTCCCTCAAGGCTCAGTGGGACACAGGCAGGAGCGTGCAGAGGTGAAGCGATCAGATTAGGAGGACGGTGACCTCATCAGTGCATTGATCCACCCACTGCATGACCCAGTGGAACCTGCAGGCAGACAGGGCTGTCGGGAGGATCGGGTCCCTGGGGCGGCTCTTCGGGGTCCGTTTTCCCAGGTGAGCAGAGCTGTCTGTCCCTGGTTGCCCCGTCCAGAGCTGCTGCCCTCTGCCCGCCCTTCTGCCACAGTGTCCTGCTCCACCTCAGCCCGGAGCTGCCAGGTCATGGACCAGGGACCGAATGTCCAAGACCATGAGCCCAAATAAACTTTTCCTCCTCTAAGTTGTTTCTGCCGGGCGCTTTGGTCACAGCTGTGCTAAGCTGGCTAAAACACCGCGGTGACATATCATGGTCTGGTACTTCTCATGGTCACCCACGTGAGACGGCTCTTGTTGCAGTCGGGGTTGCTCTGTCCACACTCCCTCTGTCTCTGCTCACTGCTTTTCCTGGACATTTCTGAAATACTGCCTTGCCCGTTTCCTTAGATGGGGAGTCGGGAGGTAACAGGTCTGTTGGCATCTAAAGGGGCGGCAGAGGAGCTGGCCAGGCCCCAGCACCGCCCACCCCACAGGGAGTGCCCGCCCAGGCCCTGGAGGACAGGGCCACGTGCCCCAGTGAAGAGGCCCCACGGGGAGACAGAAAGAGATGCAGAGGCAGCACTTAAAACCGAGGGAACTCATGCTTTAATAGACACTGAAATCACAAAGGAAGAAGGCCAAGCGCCTTAGCAGTCTCAATAAAAATATGAAGTTCTTTTTACATGGCAAACTTTGTAATATAAAAAGTTTAATGCTATCTGGAAACTGTGAAATTTACAAAAAAAAAAAAAAAAGTCCATGTAGGCCGCGGACGGCTCACACTGCATGTAAGGAGCGGGAATGCCAAGAGGGGGCGTCGGTGGCCGCGGCGCCCAGGGGACAGGGCCAGGGTGCGGCAGCGCGAGGGCCCAGTTCACACAGCACACACAGACATCTCAGATCACACCTGCGCTGCGAGGAGGTCACACAGTGTTCCTCTGGCTGCTCGCCAAGGGCAAACCAGGTTATTGCTGGGGTTTCTGCGACCTGAACCTAAAGTAGCCAAGTACAGTTCTCCTGGGGCCTGCGGTGCGGGGCTGGGCAGGAAGGGACAGGGGACTTGCTTGGCACCCACCCACCGGAGGGTCCGTGGGGCAGAGGAGAGCGGGGCAGGACCCGGGGGCAGCGCCTGGCTTCTCTCAGTGAGGACTTGAGGAGGAGGGGACAGCGACTGGGGCACACCTGTGTCACCAGCGTGGAAGGTTAGCAGCTGACCTGCTCCTGGTGATTTGACTTGGTTAACAATCATCAAGTACCAGAGGAGTTGGCTGGGGGGAGCTGGGAGCATCGTCTACCTGTCACTGTGGTCCTCCCGAGGTCCTAAGAGACAGGGGTCTTCCTGCTGGTCCCCAGTGTGTTTGCATGTGAGGGGGTGGGGTCGGGGCCATCCCTACCTGAGCTAAGAGCACGTCAAGGCTGCCTGCAGGGGGAAGCGGATGCTTCGGTGGATTCCACACACCGGAGAGTCCTCCCCAGGATGAGCGCCAGGGCCGTGCAGGAGCGTCGCCCAGGTCTCCACGGCTGTCCTCCCTCCTGAAACTCCTTCCTGGGTCACAGGCCTACACCGGGACTTGCAAACTTTCTCTTTCAACCCGGGTCAGCATTCGATCATTTAGTCTTCGGGGGCCAAGACGCAAGATCAAGAATATCATGTAGGTACTTAGAGAGCGATTGAGAGAGGTAAAATCCTCTCAGCCTAGGACACCTAGGACACCCGAAAAAAATCAGCCCGTGGGTCCCCTGCCAGCCCCTGCTGCTGCCAAGAAGTCCGAGTTGTCCCACCGTCTCCCATGGTGCAAGCACACAGGTTTTTCAGAGTAGCTGGAAATTCACTCTGACGCTGATTTGTACACGTGGGGACTCTGGTGGGGACACTGGGCCTCTATCCAGCCACTCTGTTTCCCCCCCTGAAACTGATGTTCAGGACCAGGTAGAAAGGTCCTGTGTGCAGCAGGAGACCAGGGACAACAGGTACCGAGGGCTAGAAGCAGGTCGGTCACCAGTACTCACCGGCTGGACGCCACAGGAAGTGGTCTGGGGGGAGGTGTTCTCCAGAGTGGAGGGACAAGGGCACAGAACCCAGGCCCCTGCCCAAGGGCTCAGGGCATTTGGCCAGGAGACTGCAGAGGCGCCCTGAGGAGGGCCAGCTGGCGGCGGGGCGGGGGTTGGCTGGGGTGTGCTCTTCGTTGCTGAGACCTGACTTTGCCATCACACAGTGCTGTCCCCCTGGCTGTCACCTGCTACACTAGCACTTCTAGTACCATCTTCCCCTGTGAACATAAGACTTCTCACAACTGCCCACTGCTTTATGAAGGATCTCTCCCGGGTCGGTCAGGGCTGGACAGGGCAGCCTCCCTGAATGGGCCTGGCTGTCATAAGCCCTCCACGATGTGCTCCTGAGAGTAACCAAGTGGAGGACATCCTTTAGTCCCCTCAGAAGGTACGCTGACCGCGCCGCCCCCCCCCCCCCGGGCGCATGGGGCCAGTCATGCAGGTGCAGTGCGACCCTCTCTACAACTAAGGCTGCAGCTGGGGTCCTGGTGCTGGTGTCCCTCTGGCAGCCCCATGTGTCCCCTCCACGTGCTGTGGTCCCAGGTCAGGCGGCTGCACACCTTCTGTGGTGGACCCTCATAGCAAGGGAGGGGGGCTTTAACTTTAAATAAGTATCTTTTAGATAATTCTAGATTCTCCAGCTAATTTTAGCACTAATAGGATTTCCAACACTTCATTTCTATATTAAAATAAATTAAAGGCCACCCCCAGGTGGCCATTCCCTTGATGTGTCCAGCTAGCAGAGGCCTCGAGGGTCCTGCTGTCTCTGCGGGAGCTGTGTCTGGTCTCTGATCCCCCACTTCCTGTCTGTTTAGCAATGGTTCAGATGCGGGTGCCCTGCGTCCCGGGACTGGCTCCAGCCAGGCAGCTCACAGGGGACAGGGCCCCAGGGATATGGGACCTGGCGGCCCATGGAGGCTGAAGAGGTCTGTGGGGAAGACGGGGGACAATGAGCACCTAATCAAAGGCAACCGGGCTGGAAGGAGGGTCTGGTTCCATCTGGTGAACCAGAGTTTTGTTAGGTTTTCTTCCCTCCTTTTTCTCTCTTTTTTTTTTTCTCTTTTTTGCTTAATAAGGAAACTGAATATTTTCAACCCTTTCCCCCAAAACTTGATAATTGCTTATGGATGACTATTCAAAATTTGGCATTTTAAAAAACTTTTTGAGCTTTTAAAAATAACAGCTATAAATGCAAAGTACTATTGATAACAAAACCAGGTTGTTCATCCGTGTACAAAAAAGGTCAGTAATGTTTTAAAAGCACAAAGTTGCATCTTAAATCACAATTGCATAGTTCTAAAATGCCTGGGTCGGAGTTACATAAACTTTTTAAGAAAATTCAAGTTTGGCTGAGGTGGGGCCCTAGGGCCTTGCGGAAGCGCGCTGACGGGCGTTATTGCGAGTGGCGGTGGCGGCCGCAGGACTGCGACAGGTTTACGTCATTGGCATTTTTGAAACCGTTATTCTGTTTTTGGCTAATATGACACTTTCATGTCGATCTCGACTTGGATTTTCTGACTGTCCCGGCAGAGAAGGTGCTGCCCGGGCTCTCCTGTCCCCTCCACCCCAGAATCATGGCCATTTTTGTACAAAATCCTGTCAAAGAATCACATCAAAGACGAGTGGCAGGGGGTCCGGGGTGGACATGGGTGAGGTGCGGAGACTCGCCCCAGTGCCATTCCCGGCCACCAGCCCGGGGCGCCTGGGGGGCGGGCTTTGCGACGTGCCCTACCAGGGCGGCCACCGGGGGCGCTGCGCGGCTGAGGGGGACAGCGCTCCGGCGGGTGGCCCCCGCGGGGGCGCCGCTGCTCTCAGAGTCGTGGGCGGAAAGAGGGAAGCTTCAGCATTTGGAAGAAGGAAAAAACCTTCCCGGGGACAGGAACTTGTAGCCGTTTGCTGAAGGAAGTCTCAGGGGGCGAGCGGGGGCTGCGGGGCCCAGCGCGGTGGTCTCAGGGCGCCAGTGGCCGTTGGGGGGGGCCCTGGAGGGCGCCTCGTCCCGCGGCTGCAGCGACAGCTCCTGCAGTTCCAGCTTGTCGACCCCCTCCTCCTTCTTGTTGTGCCGAGGCGACAAGTTTAGCAGGCTGAGCACGTCTCTCTTGGAGGTGGTGGTTCCCGGGGGCCCCCGCAGCACCCTCACGGGCCCCGCGGGGGGCTGGGGCGCGCTCTGCCACAGCATCTTCAGGTTGTGCACGGCCTGCACCTTCTCGTCGATGGCCGCCAGCTTCAGCTTGTCCAGGTCGGGGGCGTCGGCGGGGCTGGAGCGCGCGGAGCCGGCGGAGGAGTAGGAGAGCGCGGGCGAGGGCGCGCTGCCCGCCGGGGACTGGTGGCCCGAGCTGGGGGACAGGGTCCGCGGCGACCTGGAGATGTGGGCGCTGTAGGGGGAGCTGGGGTACTTGAGTTTGAAGAGCGGCTGGTCCGACAGGGAGGCCTGGGAGTCGCAGGGGGACGGGCGGCCGCTGTGCTGGCTCGGGGACGCGGGGCTGCTGTACCCTGAGCTCACCTTGGGCAGGGACGAGCTCCGGGCTGGGGGCTTTGGTTTGGTGGCGATGGGCGACGGCTGGCTCTTCTGGTGGGAGAGGACGGGCCTGCTGAAGGCGCTGGTTTCCGAGGCTCTGAAGACCGGGGCGCTGGGGGGCACCGGGGCGCCGTCCTCGCGGGGGCTCCCCGGGCCGCCCTGGCCGCCGCTCCTCTGGAGCCGCTCCACCGCCAGGAGGTGACTTTGCGTCTCTTCCAGAATCTTCTGGGCCAGCTCCTGGGGGTCCAGCTTGGGGCTGCCGTCCTCCTGGGACTTGACGGTGCTGTCCGTCTCCGTGCTGGACTGGTCCGACTCGCCCGTGTCGGAGCTCGCCAGCTTGCCCACCTTCTGGAAGGGCGAGTTGGGGCTGGGGATCAGAGTCATCTTGGCCGGGGAGTTGGGGGTGCTCACGCTGCCCTTGGAGCTGACCGACACCTTGGCGCCCACGGCAGCGCCCCCGCGGGCAAGCTTGGGGTCCGGGGAGAAGCGCGCCTCCCTGCCCTCGGGGTGGGCGGCCAGGGGCTCGGTGCTGACGATAGAGAAGCCCTCGTACTCCTCCTCGTCCTTGCTGCCCGCTGCCCGGGCCTGGGGGGACAGCGGGCTCCGCGGCAGGGTGGTGGCTCGCTGCGGGTAAGTGTTCTTGGGCTTGTCGAAATCCTGCCGTCCCCTAGGGCCTCCGCCCTCCGGGCCGCACTCCGGCCTGGAGACGAAGCTCATGGAGGAGGCGATGGAGCTCAGGCTGTATACGGAGATGGCGTCTGAGGCCATACTGTCCGCTCCTGTCGGGGAGAAGGGCGGGTGCTGGCAGCCCAAGGGCAGGGCGTTGGAGACGGATTGAGCAGAGGCCAGGGACTCCAGGGAGGATGAACTGTCGAGGCTGAGGCGCTTGGGGAGCTCGGTGGAATCTGAGCACAGACACAGGGACGAGGGTGGTTAGAATGTTAGACGGTTTCCATTTTTCTTTCGAAAATCACAGAAGTCCCTAGAAACTAGCAAGGAATTATGCAAATGCTACTCCTGCCCAAGTGGAACTCATTTACACCCAAGTCCAGTTGGAAAGAGAAGTGCATCCAACAGTGGGCCAAAGACACCCTGGGGAAGCCACATCGGCACTCCTGAGGCCTCGGCCAGCACCTCAGTCTTCACACCTCTGCTCCTGGCCACTAGAGGGACCCACGCCTGCCATCCTGCTCTGACCAGCACTGAGCTTTCAGTGGTGTCCCCGTGCTCAGCCCCACATGTGCCATTCGTGGTAGCCAGGTCCTGGTGGTCCCAGCAGACCCCAGGAGTCACTGGCCCTCGCTCCTCCTCAGCTGCCTCTCCCCTGCTCTTGCAGAGGCCACCAGGAGGCCAGCACTCCCAGGCCCAGCATTCACCCTCAGACCTGGTGTGGGACACATCCTGCTCTCACTGGCTTCCCCCTCATCTCTGTGACCTTTGAATCCTGGAGTGCCCCCGGATGCGGTCCTCCTCCCCTCTAATCTGCATGCTTCATCTACACCGCATTCAACACTGGTCACCAGCGGCAGCACTGAGTGGGCCCACGCTACAGCCACCATTCCTCCTGCTGCTTTCCTGACCAGCCAACCAGGGCGGCCCCTGGCTCTTTCCCTGCTGCGATGCACACCCCAGAGCAAATGCCATGGGTTCTGCCCTCCACGCCACTCTCATATCGCAGCCACTCTGCAACCTGAGAGTGCACGGTCTGGGCACCAACTCCTGCCAGGCCTGTGGATCCCCAATGGCCCATGGAGGGATAGGCCTCCATGGCGCCCATGCCCTTACCCTGCCCTTTCCTTGTGCCCTGTGCCAGCCCCTCAGGCCTGCTACCTACACTCAGCTGTCCTCTCCCACAGGTAGTGAGTTCCCTGGGTGCAGGAGGTTTGTTTATTGCCCGGGGCTGGCATGGACCATCTGCCCTGCAGCTCTGCAGTCCCCAACACACACAGACACACAGAGCCCAAAATGCAGCCAGGAGGAGCCGGCGGGCCTCACAGGGGGTCTTACCAAAGAGAGCCAGCAGCGACTGCAGGGCGAAGTGCACGGTGCGCCGGCTGGCCTGCTTCCCGGTCTTCAGGATGACCTCCTCCTGCCCCACCTCACACAGGTCGAACCCTGGAGAGACCAGGCACAGAGCTGTGTCCTCAGGGGGCCTCAGGTACCCCACAGGACAGAGCGGGGCCTGTGTACTGTTTCACACAGCGGGGTGTGTCCGCAGGGGCTGGGCCTCCTGTCCCTGTTCCTACACAGCTGAGTGTGGTGCTGCTGCTGCCAGGCCCTGCGCCCTCGAAGAGCTCTGGTCCCCTCCTGCCTGAGCCAGGTGCTGAGCAGGACTTAATGAGGCTCATTAACATGTCCATGTTTTCTGTTCTGCTCAGACCATCCAGGGCAAGCACGGACGCTGCACTCAGCACTGGGCCCGCATCTAAAGCCGGTGCTCGGGAAGGTGGCAGTTTCTCCTGGGCAAGGAGAGCGTCATCACACGGCCCCGCCGTCCTGGCTGACTGCCCACAGGGAGTTCAGTCATGCCTAAGCCCAGGGGCTGCTCCCCGACCCCCAGGACCCTAAGGAGCCCAGAGCAGCACAGCTATGCCCATGCACCGGCCTCCTGGGCTCGAGGCTGGCTAATGAGCTGCTGATACCGCAGTGACAATGTAAGAGCCACCACAGCGGGTGTGGTGGCCTATGCCTGTAGCCCAGCTACGAGGGAGGCAGGAAGAACACCTGTGTCCACCAGTTCAGGATCATCCTGGGTGACACAGCAAAACCCTTCTCTTAGGCAGCCAACGAGGACCTCTCCTCTCCCTGGGAAGATGCTAACTCAGACATGTGGCTGTGACTGTCACAAACGGGGACCACCATGCATGACAAAGGTCCTGGAGGCCTTGAGCACTGAGTCTTGGCCCCGCCTCTCCCAGAAGACCACTGACTCCACCTGAACCCTCAGATGGATTGTGCTGAGGCCCCAGGGAACAGGGCACCTGCGGTGCCACAGCCTGTCCTCGGATCAGGGCTCTGTGGCACACAGCGTGGCCACTGTCAGCAGGCCGAGTGGCTCAGGACTGCACAGCCCCTGAGGGGACAGCTCTTCCTGGTCTGTTCTTCCTCAAGGACTCTGACACTGGTCTGGACACCACCTTTCCCTTTGGAACAAGGTTCCCTGGAAGAGGTGACATTCTGATCACGGTGGGACATTGTCCTCCCTGAAGTGGAGAACAAATAATCCCTGAAAGTTACTCATTTAAAAATGAGTGACTAGTTATATAAATGTCACATTTCTGTTCCTGACCCTAACCTCTACCTTCACCCACAGCTGACTTGGCTGGTCCCACAGACTGCGCCCCACCCCCCAAGCCTGCGCAGGACCCGCAGGCTCTCCTCTGGATGCCTGGCCTTGAGGGGCTGCTCTCCGCCCAGCACTGGTCACCAGTCTTCGAGGACCGCCTGTGAGCCTGGGCACCCTGACTCACCAGGGTGGCAGCCCATTTCAGCCCCAGAGCCAGCATGGGCACTCTTGTGTCCCTCTGAACGGTGCCCTGTGACACAGCTGGTGCTGGATGTCACAGGTGAGGAGCAGAGCAAAGGAGGCTAGGGGCCCGAGCCACCTGGCCCCTCGAGGCCACGGGCTCTCCTGTCCTAGAAAGGCGTGACAAAGGCAAGTCTCTGGGCACCTGGGGGATGGGGATGGAGGCTTGGGCCTCTGGGCCTCATTAGCAGATGTACCTGCTGTAAAGAAGCCACCGTTGCATCAGGACTGACCGGCTGCATGAGGAACAGGGGAGGCACAGTGAGCCTCCTGGGCGGGACAGGGGCCTGCGGGGCAGCAGTAGCTGCCCTGGCTCCTGGGTGTCTCAGTGAGTCCCGCTTCCTCCCAGCTCCCAGTAGCCAGCACGGGCCACACTCAGCCACCAGTCTGGCCCTGCAACTCTGAATTTCCTTCAGCTGCTAATCGAGGTGGATGCCACAAATGGAACCCAGCAGATTCCCAGTACGGCGATGTGGACAGAGGAGGGAGGTGACATCATAAGGCAGGGGGACGGATGAAGCTGGAGGGCACCTGGGAATCTCACAGGGGCGGTGGAATCTCTGAACTGTAAGATGGCATCTAGGGGAGCACTGGGGGGGACCCAGGGCCCCAGCAGAGCCCGGGGAGCAGCAGGTGGTCAAGGGGTTGGGTCCTACCGAGTGCGGCCAGGAACTCGTGGCATCCCGGGAGCCGCCACAGCTGGACGCTGATGGACACCTGGATGGGGACTGAGGCGAAGTCCTGCTCCTTCTCGCCAGCCTGGAGCTGCACCAGCACCTGGTGGAGCTGAGGGAGGGAGGCGGACATGAGCACCCGGCCCGCCCGGCCTCTTCCCCTCCAGCCCGAGTTGTCCTTGTCCCCTGTCACTGCTGTCACCCTCTCGCCTTGTGTGTGTGTAGTGTTTGACGATCTTGTTAAGGTGCCTTCCTGCCCAGCGCCTGCTGTCCTCTAGGGAGCTAAGGGACAGTGGGGCTGAGGCCAGAGGCGCGAAGGTCCTAAGGCCTCCCCGCACCCGGCTGTGCTCCAGCCTCAGGAGAGGAGGGGCAGGGTGGGCACTGGTGACCTCCTTTTTCACGCAGGCACTTCATAAAGCCATCTTCAGGATACTGAGGTTCATGGGAAAGGAGTGTCTGGCACCCCAGCCCTCAGGGAGGAGCCCGGGCCCGCTCAGGTGTCCCCCGCCCGGGTCTGTCTGTGACCTCCGCTTCCTATGTTCACAGTGTCAAAGTTCATTCAACCCCCGCTGCTCTGGGGTCAAATCCAGGGGGCTGGGGCTCAGGGTAGAGCATTTTCCTGGCACGTGCGAGGCCCTGGGCTCCATCCTCAGCACCACATAGAAATAAATACACAAAATAAAGGTGTGTATCCATCTACAACTAAAAAAAAATTTAAAGGTCAAATCAAGGGCACAGAAGGGTGGAGCAGGAAAGGGGGAGCCAGAGCAGAGGATGGAGCCAGTGGGCAGCAGCACGGGCCCGCGGGGTCCCAGGAGCCAGGCAGTGGTGCAGCAGCTGGAGCTCGGGCGGGATGGGCGGAGGCTCATCTGGGGGCAGCGGCTACTTAAAGTCATACTTACCATTCCCACCATATTTTTAACAGCCTTCGGCCAGCAGATTATAAGAAAAAGAAAGAAAGAGAGAGAGAAGAGAGAGTTTAGAGTCAAGCACAGGCTGTCGCACCACGAGCGAGCGCGCGCTGCCGCAGGAGGCCCCGGCTGGGGAGGAGCGAGAGCAGCAGGACAGGCACGCTCAGGCCAGTGCTGGGGCAGGGCATGTGGCATCGCGGGGTTCCAGAGGGTGCCCCGGGGCTTCCCCTGAAGGCAGGGAAGTGAGGACTAGCTCCCAGGAAGCCCACTGCCCTCGTGTGGTCTAGCTGTCCCTTCTGTGCTGCGTGTGCTAATGTGCCGGATTCCGGAAGCGCCTTCCTGGTGCTGCCCACAAGAGCAGGAAGGGCCTCCTAGAGACACAGGATGGAGGGAGGGGCGGCCACGGCAGGTGTCCTGTTCAAGTCCTGGCCGGGAACAGCCTCAGGTGAGTGGCTGCAGCCCCACTGAGGACCTCAGAGCCTGCTCCACCAGGCGGCTCATGTCCACAAGGGAAGTGTTTCTGCTGACCAAAGTCCCGAGGTCCCCCAGCAGGATGGCCAGGAAGGGCGACTGTGCTTCAGGTCACACTTCAAAACTGCTCTGTGCTCTGATCTTTCCCACCCAGAAGCCCACATGCGCTGTCCCCTGGGCTAGTCCCAGACATCGCTGGCCAGCAGGAGATTGAGCAGGCATAGAGGAGCTCAAGGCCCAGGTGGGGGACCTGCCTGAGGCTAAGAACGAAGCCCCTCCCAATCCCCGGGTCAGAGCAGCTCCATCCTCAGGGCGAGCGCCCGTCAGGCGTGCTGGGCATAGAGCCCACTCCTGCCACTTTTTTTCAGGCATGAAAAGTACTTGGTAGCGGACCCTGTGGTCATCCCGTAGACTGGCACAAGGCCCACTGGGCTGGGGATGGTGGCTGTGACATTTGTCAATCAACTAAAAAAGTTGGGGTGGGCTGACAGGTGCAGGTGGGCACTGCAAGGCGAGTGCAGGAACCGCCCAGGGCTTCAGGTGACAGGCTCTGAGTGTTACCTGGAGGTGCGCTGCGCTATGACACTAGGAGGACCTGCCCTTGCAGACCCAGCCTGTGCCTCCCCTCTGATCATTCAGACAGAAAAGAGCAGGAGGGCTGCGAGACTCGCAGGTCTTGTCCTGGACCACACCACACCCTCGGGCTCAGCCGGGCCTAGGCTCCACTGTCTGGGCCCCACTCACCCGGCTGATGAGCTGCTCGCCGGTCTCTGAGGCAGTGATGAGCTTGCAGAGGGCCTGGAGGGCGGGGTTGGGCAGACCTGCAGGAGACCAGGAGGCAGGGTTACCCAGGGGCCTCCGCACCCGTGGTCCTGCCACCTTCCAGGGGAGAGAGCCCCACATGCTCAGTATTGGTGGCATTTTTCAAGCCTGGACCTAACAGACATGTCTACGTGTGACTTGGAAAATGTGGCCTCTGAGGAAGCCTGACCCTGCCACACCCTCCAGGACAGTCCCAGTCAGCAGACTGTGCCACTCTGGCTGCCCTGCAGCTGTGTCAGACCCACAGCCGCCAGTGACAGCGTCAGAACTAACACCTGCCCAGAGCCACCTCACGTCACCCCGGAAGGGGCAGAGCTGGGGCCTGCTTAGCCTGGACTCTCATAAAGAAGGACCCCCTGGTGAGGGGCCGTGGTGGCCCAGATCAGCGGCCCAGGACAACTTGGCCCTCCCGGCTGCGGGTCACAGCGGGATGGGTCCCCCGTACCCTGGCCCCTGTTGCCCGAGGCTGGCATCCCGCGGTGGCTCACCCAGCAGGGACTGGAGGGTGCTGCTGCATTGCTGGAGCCGGTCCCCCGGGTCGGAGGTGGGGAAGAAGACGGCCGCCGGGAGGCCGCTGGCCGGGGGGTCCAGCCGGAAGCCCACGGCGGTGAGGAGGGCCTGCCAGCCCGGGATACCGCCCACTTTGTTCTCCACGCTCTGCTGCGAGGTGTACATGGCGTTGCGCTGACCGTTCTGGATGCGCTGCAGGGACTTCTCCACCTGGCGGGGAGAGGGACAGTCAGAGGCCCTGGCCGCCCCCTGCGCTCCGCATGGCTCTGAGGGAGAAGCCAGGGCTGTGCCAACTGGGCCCCGGGCGGCCAACGGGGCCAGGCCTGGGGGCACCGAGGGTCACTCTGCAGGGGGTGAGGTGGGCGGTCTGCCCCTGAGAGTGGCAGGAAGAGGCCTCTGTCCCCGTCCTAGTCCCTGGCCAGCCCTTCCTGTCCCCAGTCTCTTCCACAGACCCTGGAGAAATTTCCCTGAAAACAGCTCTCAGGCCAGGGGCTGCCCAGGCCATGTCACAGCCCCTCGCCCCACCAAGACCCCTTTGCTGCCGGCGGCCCACCCCACACCGCACCCCGCAGCACCCATCGCAGGCCACGGCTGGCACCATTCTCCTTCCCTGACTCGCCACTTGGCTTCCCTCGGCCTACCTCTGCCCCATAGACCGCGGCTCCCCGCGAGGAAGGGCTTTCTGTCTACAGGCCTCACCAGGGTCGGGCCTTAGCGTCCCCATCACCTGCCCTCCTCGTCCTCCACAGGGGAGCCTGCTGTCCCTGGCAGGTCTCTCTAGGGGACACCTCTGTCCACCCTGAGACTGAGCGCCATCCCTGGGGGGCAGTGAGTCATCCAAAAGGCCCCCCAAAGCTTTTCTGAATGTGGAGCAGTGAGATGCCAGGGCTCAGGTGACCCCGGGGCAGGCCGCAGCGCACTCATGGCAGCCAGAAGGGCACGGTGCAGCTGAGCCCTGCCTGCCCCGGGGCTGGAGGGAGCACGGGGTAGCTGGAAGAAGGGAGGGGCCGGCGGGCCTGACCGTGGCCACCATACCCTCAAACACAAAGCTGAGGAAGGAGAGGACCCCTGAGTCTCGCCTGAGGGCCCCAGGGCACATGGGTAGCTGAGGCTCAGCCTGAGCAGAAGGCTCTGCCACCTAGGAAGGAAATGCGGGCTGGGAGAGGGAACCAGGATGGAGGGACTCGGGGGTGACACTTGAGAAGGGACTTGGGATGAGCAACTGAAAGCCTCTGCGCAGCTTCAGACACAGCTGGCGCCAGTGGAGATGGCTTCCCAGCACCCTCAGGGAACATGGGCCCATCTGCCTGCAGCAGGTGTCCCTGGGTGCCTTGGGCCACCACATACTTTGTCACACCCCATTCCTGCTGGCCTCAGGCAGACTCTCAGCTGGAGAAAGGTGCATGACCCGTCCATCATGAGATGGTCCAAGAGTGCACAGCCTGGGCACACGGGGTGTGCGACTCCTGCCCAGGCCCTCCATGGGACAAGGAGTGTACATGGCCAAGGGGACCTACACACCTGGAATGCAGCCCTGCGGGGAATCCACGGGGTGCTCCCTGACAAGCCTGGATGGAGACACAGAGCATGGGGCTCCTGAACTGTACGGGGACCCTGGGGCCGCTGCATGCTCCAGGTGCAGGAAGGGTGGACATGGAGCAGCTGTGTGGCCCTGCCATTCAAGCCACAGGCCGGCCCGGGCTAGCCTTGCTGGCACCGAGCTCTAAGGGGGTTGTGAGTGCTAAATGGGACACGTTTTACATCACTGTGTCTTGACTTAAAACCTTTTAAACGTGTAGCTGATGACACTTCCGCTCACACTCACTGGGGCCCTGCAGATTCTGGGGCAGCCAGAGGCGTGATCAGGAGCCTTCCGTGTGGGTGTCAGAGGGGCCAGTGGCATCCAGCTGTGAAACAGTGATGTCTGGGAGCTACCGCAGCCCTACTGTGTGCCAGGTGCTCACATTGTCTCAATCTTCGTAACGACCTTGAAACACTGGCTTCATCACCACCCTCTAGAGGGGGAAACTGAGCTCAGGGAGCCAAAGTGACTTGCCTGAAGCCACAGGGAAATAGTGGGGTGCGGGTCACTGCCCTCCACTGCCCTCTCCCAGGGTCTCGGCAAGGACTGCTGCAGCAGTCCTGGGGCCCTGCGTGGTGCCACCTGCCCACCTCCCAGCTGTGGCTGGCAACTGGCTCCGGGTGCCGGTGCCCTTACCAGGTGTAGCAGCACTCGCAGGGCATCCCGTGCGCGCTCCGGGTGCTGCAGGATCTCCGTGAGGGCCTGGCCAACGAGCGAGGAGGGGCTGTTGAGCTTGATGTCGCTCCCGATGAGCAGGAACCCTGTGGAGAGTGTGGGGCACCTCAGCAGGGCCCCCAGAGACCCACCCAGTCTGGGTCCTGTGGCCAGCCCGGCACAGAGCTGGCCCTGGCAGGACATCCAGCCAGCACCCAGTCCCTGTCCTTTCCAGGTCACATGCTTCCAGCCTTTCTGCACTGAGCAGAGCCAGGTGGGCACCTCCCAGGAGTGACTGGCCTTGCTTTCCCTGGGTCCTTCTGCATCTTTTGTCCTAGTATTTGTGGGGGGACCTGGGGGTAGGAGGCACCCTCCTGCTCTAAAAGTGGCCAGGAAGCACCATTTGCTGTCCAAGGAGCACGTGAGCTACATCCCTCCCGAGCCCCAGGCTCCTCAGCACCAAGGAGAAGCTTCAGGACGGGCCTGCCCCAGGCCAGGCGGGCAAGGGCTTTCCAGGAGAGGGAGCCGTTTTAAAGTTAGCAAGGCAGTGTCACCAAAAGTCCCTGCCCTCAGAGCAGTGGCCACTTCTACCAACAAAGCTAAAGAGAGACCCTCTTCTAAAACGTCACATCCACATGCACATGAGGACCAACAGGAGCAGGGACCCCTTTCCAGAATGGCCAAGCAGAGCCAGGCTCCCACAGAGCCTGGGGGGTCTTCTGTGGGACCCTGCAGGGCCCAGATCCCCTTCCACCTGCCAAGAGCACAGATAAAACAGGACATGGGCTGAGAATAGTGAGGGACCCACTGGGTCACCTGCTTCCTGCATCTCCTGGGGGCAGTGGTTCAGCAACATGCCACTCTGTGTGGTGATGGGTGAGGGGCCGGAAGCAGGCAGTGGGCCTCCAACCAGCCTCAGGCTCGGGAGGACATGGGCCTCAGCCACGGGAGGACACAGGCAATAGTTTTTTTGTTTGTTTTTTGTTTTGTTTTTGAAAAATGCTACAGATGTGCTTTTTGTGACGTGAAAGTGCTTCCCCTCCCCCCCACACAGCCTGTCCTCCTGACACCAGCACCTGGCATGGGCAGCACAGTCTATGTAACCAGTGGGCACCAGGGGTGGCCACCACAGCCAACGTTACTTGCTGGCTGGGCCTGGCAACGTGGTGACTCCCCTTTTGGGCTGGCCCTCCTTTGGGAACATTGGCAGTGACATTAGCAGTCTCAGGCCATGCCACCTGAATTTTTGTCAAGAGGGAGAGTGAGGGAAGCCATGTTGTCTCCAATTTTAAAAGTGCACAGGGGCCGGCTTTTGCTAAAGTGATGAAATGTAAATACTTGAGAATAGGATTCCGGCCAGTCCCCCACCACTGGGCCTGCTGCTCGGCGCCAAAGCACCCTGGAGGCGGCAGGATGAGCTCCACGGGTGTGCGGTGGGGAAGGCCCGGGGCTAGCCCTGCACTTGGTCCCGGACTGGAGAGGGGGGTCTCGGGCATGCCGGGGCTTCTGGTGACGCTGTGGCTCATGAACACAGGCTGCTGGGACAGCAGCTCTGCCCACGAGCAGCCCACCCCACCCCTCCTGTGGCCAGGTCACAGGTCAGCCACCCCCTCACTCCCAAGCCCCCTCAGCGCCATGCCGAGGGTCTCCCAGCACGGGCAGTGCCTCGCACTGGGCAGGGCAACCCAGGCCCGAGCTGTGGGCAGGGTGGAGCCGCAGCACCACCCCATCCACCTACAGTGGGCACAAAGGACACCGGGCTTCAGAGAGGGCTGTAACCTGTCTCAAGTGACAGCAGGTGTGTGACCAGAAGGCCAGGTCAAGGGTCATTCCCATTGGCTGGGGGTTTCAAGGTGGCAACATGGGTCATCTGGGCACAGCGAGGCCATCTGGTGGCAAATATCTGTCCCTGGTCCAAAATACGGTGCCCAGGAGGGGACACTCCTGGCCAGGGCAAGGACCAGGGTGAGGGTCTCGGCAGGAAGGCACACCCCCGCCCCCCATGCCCACCTGCACCTCGAGGTGCCACGAGGCCCCCCCGGGGCCACGCACCTGCCCAGTTGGAGGGGTGCGAGAAGGCCTTGTTGCTCTGCACGGCCTTCATGGCCTCCCCCAGGGCGGCGCTGGCCTTGAGCCCATTGAGTAGCGACGAATAGAAGGCGTGGACGAACATCTTGGAAGCGGCCACGGGCACTGGCCACAGAGCCACCAGCACACACTGAGCGCCGGCGGCCAGGAAGGCCCGCGTCAGCGCCACCACGCCGTCGGCCGTGACCCTGCCGCTGGCCTCCTGCGAAGAGCCGAGCACCACCAGCTTCACGGGCAGCCGCAGGTCCAGCAGGTCGGCAGCCGTGAGCAGCAGCTCCCGCAGGGGCGGGCAGTCCGAGATGCTCTCCCCATCGCTGGCGTCATCCTGCACCCGTAGGGACTCGGGGATCGTGTAGGGGTGGCCGAAGGAGCTCTTGCTGCCAGCAGGGTTGCTGTCCACGCTGGGCGTGAGGACCAGGGCCGACAGTTTCCATGAGATGTGGGTGGCGAAGTGGACGCACTCGGCCTGGGTCAGGGCGCTCATGACCCGCTCCTTGGTGGCCACGCTGCCCACCAGGGGCTGGCAGCCCAGCAGCTCAGACACCATGTGCGCTTCCTCCTCGGCCGACGGCATGGGCCCCCACAGCCACCTGTCCATCACTGCCGACGGGAGCTTGGGGTTGCCGATGACAGCTGCCATGGACGCCGAGCTGGGGTATGCCGGTGGGGTCTTCCTCAGGTGGGACTAAGAGGGGAGGGGACACAGCAGAACACCGTCAGAGTGAGCAGCGGGCATCTCGGGAGGACCCGGGTCCCCGATGACCTTCACCCTGATTTTCCAATGTCTCGACACAGGTGCCTGGCCGCCAGGGATCGCCTATCCTACAGTCCCGAGATCAGGCCTGGGCTGGGGAGGGACACCACTGTCTGCCAGGTGAAGGGACAGCCAGCCTGCCATGGCTCACACCCAGCTGCCCTAGAGGAAGTGGGGGGGAGGCTTTGGGAAGTGACCTTTCTTAGGCTGCCAGTCAATCTGGGGATACAAGCCCAGATCAAGTCCTTCAGAAGCTCTATGTGTGGAGGAGTTTCACTCCGTCACCTTCCAGGACAAAAACATCCCAAGATAGAAAACCAGCCCAGAGCCCCACAGTGTAACCTCCCACCAGGGCAACTTTGGATGCTCTTGAAGGAAACGTAAAGGCATCATGTTATCTCACAACGCCTGCCTCTGCTTGGGCCTCGGTCCACTGTGGGCGAGGGAGACAGTGGCCCTCAGAAGACTGTCCCCTCCATGTCTCTGGACAAGCTGACACAGTGAGCTCACTGCTGCCCCAGTCAAAGCTCTGAAGGCTGCACTGACACCTGGAGGGCTCCGGTGGTGGCAGCGCCTGGGAGACCAGCTCACTCATCACTGGGATCCATCTGATCAATAACAGGGTCAGAGGCTCACAGGAACCCTGTCGTTCACTTTGGGCTGGCTGTTCCCGTGAGGAGCACAGGATCCAGCAACTAGGACAGTCAGAGTCCAGGGCTGCAGGCATGCGCAGCAGACACCCACCCCACGTGAACAGGCCAGTGACCCAGCAGTCAACCAAGGCCCAGAAGAGTCCCAGGGCCCGGGTTCCCAAGGCCAGCCTCCTTCCTGCCCCTGCAGAGCCGCCTGCGAGGTTACCTTGGTGTGCGGGCCGAGCGAGCGGATGGCGGGCACAGCGATGAGGGCGAAGCGCTCGTACAGGTACTCGTTGGAGGAGCTGCCCTTGAGCAGGGCGAAGGGGATGAGGTAGAGCTCCCCCTCCAGGACCAGGACCAGCTGCCGGTGCCGGCCCACGGGGCCGCTGGAGTGCATCAGGCCCTGCGGAGAAGCGCAGCAGGCTGACTGGCTGTTGCCAGGGCCCGCACACCAAGGCCAGCTGGGCCGCCGGCCAGGTGCGAGAGCCACAGGCAGGTCCGAGGGCTCTGGGACCAGCTGGGTGGTCTGGTGGGTTCTGACCACCTGGCAGGGCTAGAGGACTTGAAGTCCACGGGTGACCTGGGGCATCAGGGAGGCTAGGGTGCCAGTCATGAGTGGGGCTGGCCCTCAAAGACCTGGGGAGACTCCAGAAGCTCCAGATGTTTCTACTGAGGTGAGGAATGAAGGCAAAGAGCGCTATCCAGAGGGGTCCCCAGAGTCGTGTCACCCAGATCCCAAGAGCGGGAAGAATGACTCCTCTCAAAACAGGCAGCGGGACCCAGGGGGCTGTTTTCCATTTTGATGAGTAAGAGGCTCAAAGTTCAGCTCTGGGGACAAGGATGACATCTCCCACCCGAGGGGGCAAGGAGGGGCTCCCAGAACTGGTGACTTTTGAGGTCTCTGTGCACCTCCTCTGCAGGGCCTGGGTCTGGGCTCTGGAGGCACTCTGCCTTCTGGGGACATCAGGAGATCTAGACGGCACTAGTATGACACTGTCCCTCCTGAGAGGTCCAGCAGGAGGATATGAGGGAGGGGTGCCCATGTCACGCACACAGACACCCCCCTTCTCTCCAGACACATTTCATTCCCAAAGGGCTAATGACAGAGCCTGAGGCCCGGGGCCCTCGGAGGAGGCGAGGTGCAACTCTGATGCCGGCCCAACTCAGGCTGTGGGCGGACGGAGCAGAGGCCGCTGCCGAGCGGGGAGCCCAGGTCTGTGTCACGCTGCGGGCAAGGCTGCTCTGTGGGAGGGAGTCACCAGGCCCCCGCCCCATCTGCCAGGCGGGAATGATGTGCGCCCCGAGGAAGCACGCGTGCTCGCCTGGCCCGTCTGCCACGCTGCCCCGGGCACTTGGCTGAGGGTGGCAGAGGCACTCGGCTAACCCAAAGTGACACATGCCTGGCGGGACAGTCAAGCCCTACAAAGCCCCGTGACTTTTTTTTTTTTAAATTCTAGCTGCATTGAAAGAAAGTAGAAATTAAAACCATCAGGCCAATTTGCTGCTCGTTTGCTTTATGAGCCGACCCCCAGGAACACGGGGTGAGTCTCCATGTGACCCAGGAAGGGGGGCGTGGGATGCCCGGCCACCCAGTGCTGCCCGTGATGAGCGTGGGGTCTGCACAGGGGCGAGTAGTGGGCACCTGGGCCTGCCCCTCCCCAGCCTGAGGACCACGCCTGAGGCCCAGGCTCCTGCAGGAGGCCATGGCCCTGGGGCACCTCTGTGGGACTGCGCAGGTGGACTGGCAGCTGGGCCTTGGGGGCCGCGCTGACAGCGCCCTGACCTTGGCTCTGCAGTCAGCGGTTGTCACAGTGACAGACCCTTGCCACTCAGCGAGAACTGAGCAGCCTGAGGTACAGTCATCATGGGGCCCGTGCCACCTGCCACCTGCAAAACTGGCCCACCCTGTTCCATGGACACCGGGCGTGGTGACAGGATGCAGCCCCGGCCTGCTGGTCCTCCTGGGCTCCTGCTGCTTAGGCCCAAGCTCCAGGAAGCTCTGTCTGGTATATCCCACAGGCCACTGAACGTCCCTGGGGCTGTTCCACAGCTCTTGGGGACAAGTTCCAGGTCGTGACAGCACCTGTCCATGTGAACCAAAGGCCAGTGGAGGATCTGGGTAGGGGACGAGGTATAACCGCTTCCCTCAGCTCTGGATGGCCTGTCCTGAGCCGACTGGGCTCTTAGGGAAGCCGGGCAGCCATTACAGAGGAGGCCCCGAGGCCGACCGTAGCAGAACCCAGGGCCACCTGGGCCTCAGAGGTAGTGATGGCATCGGCACCATGCAGGCCCCGCCCAGGAGACCGCCTTGCACCAGAGGGTTGGGAAGGCCTGGCCTGAGCCATGAGGCGTCATTAGGAGGGAGGGGGAGGAAGACGTGGGGCAGACAGCCGAGGGCCCTGCAGGTTGGGCAGAAGGTGGGCTGAGGCCAGCTGTGTGTCCTCAAGTTGGTCTGTGTCACAGCAGAGGGCCACCCAGTGATTCAGACCAGGGCAGATGTGCTGAGGAACAGGGACAGGGGGACTTGCCAGGACACGGTGAAGAGTGACCTTAGGAACAAGAAGGGAGGAGCCTGTAGATGGGGAGCTCCCTGGGCCTCACGTACATCTGTAGCCGGGAGGCCGCGGGGAGGCCGTGGGCAGGCCGCGGGGAGGCTGCGGGGAGGCCGTGGGGAGGCCGTGGGGAGGCCGTGGGCAGGCCGCGGGGCCCTGGCGACCTTCTGAGTCCCGCCAGTGCCCACAGCCTGCCCTCTACTGAAGGGCCAGCTGTGACCTGAGGTGGACCTGAAAGGGAGGAGCCACAGGGTCTCCACCCACCATACACCATCCAGCGGAGGCCAGGGAGAACGTTCCAGAACCCCCGCCCTGCATGGGCCCTGCCAGCCCAGGGGAGGCACCTGCTGCCTGCTGAGTCTTGGATTTGAAAGACAGAATGGCGCAGGTGACAGCCTTCCCCAGCCACCGACAGAGTCTAGCAAATCCCATCAGGACGGGTCTCCTGAGCGGCCGGTTTCTTGTTCTTTGGAGAAGAAATGCAAGGAGGCCAGGGGTGCTGGCCTGTCTGTTCCTGAGGCGCTGCCCTGGCGTGCCCCTGGAGGCTGCGACCTTGGTGGTCAAAATGTGAGGCCAGGCAGTGGACACTGCTGAGCCCTGTGTGCCTGGCCTAGGGACAGAACAGGAACAGGCAGCAAGCCCCCGGGGACCTCGCACACAGCTCTGGGCTCACTAGGCGCAGCAGTGACAGGGACAGCCTTGGGGAGAGCTGATCCTGGGGCTGGCAGGGGGTAGGCGCCCTGAAGGTGGCTCTGGGTAGGACTTCAGAGTCCAAGTCCCATCAGATCTGCTCTGGGCCAGGCCACACTCTACAGCCCTTGCTCAGGTCCAGGGCACTGGGTGCTGAGCGGTGCCGGGAGGGGGCGCGGGGGGGGGGGGGTGCTGGGAGGAGCCACTGTGGTCCTGGGGCAGGTGGCCGTGAGGACTTCCGGCAGAGCCCACCACAAGGTCACCCTTTGCTGCCTCATAGTCTTGGCCTGGTGATAGAAACTAGAGTGCCACCAAGCCGCACGCCCTGAGGGCCTCCCGCCCTGCAGGCCCCAGGCTCCCACAGCGCACCTTGCCCGCGGCACCTGCTGGCCAAGCGGCCTGGCCCCGCAGCGAGCGTCTCCATGTTGCCCTCTTGGGTCTGCTCCCAAGGCTCGTATCTGCGGTCCCCCTTGCTGACCCTTGCCTGCCCTGCCACTGTGCTGCCTGTCTCCTGACTGTCCCCAGCAGGATGGACAGCCACGCCAGCCCACCAGGGAGCCAGGCGGCACTCGGGAAGAGGAGGGTCCTAATCTCCTTTTAATTCTTAGGAGACCCCCGCCCCCTTTCTTTCCCTTTTCCTCTCTAGCTTCTGTACATGAGAAAACCCAAGACCCTTGACTTATGTTTGACTTATTTCACTTAACACGGTGGCCTCTAGTTCCATCCATTTCCCTGCAAATGACATGATTCATTTTTCTTTATGGTTGAGCAGAACTCCACTGTAGGTATACACCACATTTTACTTGTCTACTCCTCCTCCGATGGATACCAGGCTGGTTCCACAGTCTGGCTGCTGTGAACTGGGCTGCTATCAATCTGGGAATGTCTGTGTCATTGGAGTAACACCCAGGGGTGGTGGCCGTGGTCACTTTTGCAGTACAGCTTGTCCTTGCTCCCCAGCATTCATGTTCATGCGGCTAAAACACATAAGTGGCCTCTGTGGAGCACCCAGATCCAAACTTTAACCCAGCGACCAGGAAAGAGCTGTCCCCTCATGTTTATGTCACCACCACCACTGTCTACACTATTTCCTGAGACGGCACCATGAAGTCCTGAAGCCAGGATCCCAATCCTGAGCTTCTCCAGGAGACCCCTAGGAGCCCTGGGTATCTGAGTGGTGACTTCTGACCCGGGGCGTCTTCCTCACAACTCGTGATGACCAGAGGTCCTGAGCTCTTCTGAAGGCAAACGTTAGGTTGCACGTGTCCTGATTTCTGCCTAAAGAAACAGGTGCGCTCCTTGCACACCGAGGCTCAACGGATTCACAGGTGCCCTCCTGTTCACGGGAGGACATGAGCCCAGCCAGAGGAATGAAAGCCCTGATCACCAAGGGGCAGGGAAAGGCTAGCCGGTCCTGGCTGTGGCCTGATTAGGCCGGATGTCGTGGACTCCCACACCTCCCCAGGATCCCCAGGGGAAGGGGCTGCGGGGAGTCTGGACACAGAAGTGCAGGTGTCTGGAAGCTCCAGCCGACTCTCATGTGTGACCTAATGAGCTGACCAAGCAGAACTGTTGACAGTAGAGAAGTCTTTTCTGAAAGCTTCCGAGAAAACTTGCCATGGTGGATGCGTCTGGTTCAGCAAACTGCACACACCTTCTGGAAATAACCCTAGAGCTTTCTGGCACTGGGGGGCTGTGGCCGTGGGCTCACAGCAGGGGGAAGCTCAGCGGGTTCCACTGCAACCCTTGGCCAACCCCGCAGCCGCTGGCTGACCTGGAGGACCGGGAGGACCAAGGGGCTGGAGTTAGAGGGACATGGCCAATGGCCATCGACAGCAGGCGTGGCTGCCTGACCCCAGCTTCTAACCACAACCAATCAGCATGGAGGCAGCAGCCCATCCTCAAGAGCCCCGGTGATGGGGACCTCAGTAATGGCCCAGTGGAGCAAGAGGGCTGGGCCTGCCCACACCCCGGGCGCTCCCGCGGGGTTCCAACCACAGACAGCTTGCGGATAATCGCCTCCATTTTTCCTCCTCCTAATCAGTCGTGGAAATGCTGGCTCCTTGGTGACATCGGCCCTCATTTGCATATTCCCACAGATGTCTCAATCAGAAATCACTTAGACAGCCGGCAGGGCTGCCAGTCCCCAGGGCCTCGTGCTCCATGGCAGACTCAAATCTGGGTCTGTTTCTACGGGCGAGTTTCCCTGGTCACCTCCAGGTTCCAGGCCACTGGGAGACAGGCACCCAGTGTTCAGGCTTGCTCCCGCTGCGAGTGTCCAGGGTCCGCTCTTTATTGCACTACTTGATTTTGCAAGGGGCACATTGCAAGACACCAAGGGACTCCTTCCTTGGAGTGATCATGGCCAGGATCCAGGCCAAGCCAAACGGTCTTCACTGCAGAGGGCTTGTGTTCCCAGGCAGGAGGCCCTGGGCGACGTCTCCAAATCCCAGCGTGCAGGAAGGCAGTCCCCAGTCTAACTGGCCTGCACTGGAGCCGGCAGCCATGGAGCCTCGCCTGGAGCAGCTGAACTGCCACTTCTCTTTCTGACCAGGGTCTCTTGTCTCGCACTCCCCGGCCCACACCTTGAGTTTTTGAGATTTCACAAACAGGAACAAATTTAAACATAGGGAAATAGGACAAGGGCGACAGAGTCTATAGCTGGAACAAGTTCCAACTCCAACATCCTGAAGGGTGTCTAAGGCTGGGCTTTTGAGGCGTGACCTGGCCAAACCCCGGGAATTCCTGACTCTAAACCTGGCCTTGACGATTTCAGCATCTGACCTTGGAGGAGGCGGTGTTCATGACCAGGAGGGTGGGCTGGTGCACAAGTGGACCAGCAGTTTCACTTGGCCCAACCGAGCGCTTCGTCACACACGCTGCTGGAGGGACCTGGGGAGAGCCCAAGTCACCTCTAAAATACACTGTCAACATTTGGGTGTGGGGACAGGATGGCTCCCTTCCGTCTTTCACAAGGCCCAGTGACCATCCTTCACTCTAATTTGATTAAAAAATATTGCTGTAGACACACAATCCCAGTCCCGCTACCACCAGATACTCCAGGACTTTTCCTCTGGTGGCATTTCCCCGTTGGGCATCAGACGGGCTTTGACTTAATGTCTGGTGATGGCTCACGAGCGGCTGTGACAAGACCCCTCCGAGTAAGTGGACACGCTCACCCTGTCCTGACAGCAAAGGACAGCGCTGTCCTAGGAAAGAGCCCAGATGCCGCTTCCCTTGAGCCAAATGAAATCAAAGGCCGGTGCGGGGCCTAGGGTAAGGGATTATTCTGTTCCACTTTCCCTACTGCCTGACCCAGTCCCTCAGCCACAGGACTGCGACGACACAAAGGCGGTTGTTGGAATAATTATACGCCCCATGTGAAGAGGCTAATCGCTTCAGTCTTGAAGTGTCAGTGATTCATGATCTTGGACTTTCAGGTCTGATTTGCAGCCTCATTGAAAACGGGGACAAGGGTCTGGCTGTCAGGCGCCCACAGCGCCAGGCTCTGGGAGCCAGCTGGCGGTGCCGCGTCGCCCTCTCGTGGCCCTGAGAGCCCCATGGGCTGCATGCAGGAGAAGGGATCCAGCCCAGTGGGGAGGAGAGGTGGCCCCCAAGACGAAAGGTCCCCCACCCACTCCACGCTGGCCACACTGTCTGCTCTGGTGTGGGACAGCACGCTCCTGACGTGGCCAGGAAATATTTATAGAACGAATGGGTGAAACAGGGAGGAGAGGAATTCTAACTAGATTCTAGCTTCTCAGGGAAACGTTTTCACTGAAACACGGGCATGGTTTTATTTTTAAGTTTTAAAATTCATTTATCTGTTTTATTTATTTATTTATTTTTTGGGGGTACCAGGGATTGAACCCAGGGGTACTTAACCACCGAGCCACATCCCCAGCCATTTTTATTTGTTATTTAGAGACAGGGTCTCACTGAGTAGCTCAAGGTCTCACTAGGCACGTGCCACCGCACCCAGCTGTTCATTTATTTTGAGACGGGGCCCAGGCCACCCTCCTGGCTCAGCTGGTTTCCCACTCAGCCCCCCAGGTCGCTGGGACCGCAGGTGCACCCTATGCCCTGTGGCAGCGGATGGTCTCTGTTGGCTCTTGTTCTGATCCTTGGATCTAAGGTTCCGCTCTCCTCTGATGCAGTCAGACTCCCTCGCTGTGCTTAAACTCCTTGATTCACAAGAAGGGGATATTTTAAATGCCAGAACTGGGGACCTTGAGATGAGGCGGTCAGCTGTGGTGGACACACCGGTGCTGCTGGCGGCTCGCAGGGCCTCTCCTCTCCTGTTCTGACCGCTGCTCTAACTTGTTCAGGTCCATGTGTAGGCATGTCGCTCAGCCGCGATCCTGCCCTGAAACAGCCCCAAACCCGGCAGCGTCCCGCTGGGGGCAGACACCCCCAGATCCAGAAGTGCCCCAGAGCTGGCCCAGCCTGCCTTCTGCCTCACACCTTGAGCCCAGGGTCGCACGAGCGGCTGCGGGAAGGAGGGCAGTGGATTCCTCCCCTGGTCTTCTGCTTTCTGTGCCAACCTAGACCAAAGGCACCTCAGACCATGCACCACCCACTAACTACTGAGCGTGTTGGGGACAGAGATGAGGGACAGTCCTTGCCTCAGGGGAGCGTGGGGTAGGTGGCAAGACGGAGGGTGAGAGGCACGAAGAGCTAATGGGAGTCCTGGGTCTGGTCAGCGGCCAGGAGCCACCAGACTTCCTGGTATGCAGGGCCCGGTGGGAGGGGTGGGGCTCGAGGAAGGTGGAGGAGATGCCAGAAGGCTTCAGACAGGCCACACTGGCGCTGGCCAGGAGAGGGGCCGGCTCCAGATGCCCTGCACTGCCCAGGGCAGAGGTGACTGGCACAGCCAGCTCCCTCCTTGCCCTCTGCTCCCGACCACCAACCCACCATCAACAGAGCAGTAATGTGAGGACCTGGGTGAGCGAGGCAGAGGGTCAAACCCCCTGAGGAGCCAGCGGGAGGGCACTGCGGACTCAGGGCGAGCTGGAGGGGAGGCTGGTGGTAAGTCACCAAGGTGGTTTGTGTGACAGTTGGTGGCAGGAAAGAAACCCTGAAAGGTAGCTCGGGTTTCAGTGTCTCTTTCTCCCTCTGAGGTGCGGCATGAGTCAGGGGGAGTGACTGCCAGCTAGGGTGCCCCTGGCAGCTGTGGCCACCATGTGGGAGGACCCTAGGGGGAGGGCAGCATCGGGGGAGGGGTGCTGCTGTGGGGGGCTGCAAGGAGGCGGCAGTGCAGGAAGGCTGGAGGGCCCAGCAGCAGCTCAGCTTAAGAGGTGCCTGGGCACAGTGGCCACCCATGAGGCCTGGGCAGGGCCTCTCCTCTCCCCGTTATGGGCACAGTGGCCACCTCTCACCAGGCATCTGCTGTCTCTGCCTACATGCTCACACAGGCCCAGGCCTATCCAGCGGCTCAGGAGGCTGAGGCAGGAGGATGGCAAGTTCAAAGCCAGCCTCAGCAACAGCGAGGCCCCAGGAAGCTCAGTGAGACCCTGTCTCTAAGTAAAACACAGAATAGGGCTGGGGATGGGGCTCAGTGGTTCTACGCCCCTGGATTCCATCCCCAGTTCCCAAAAGAAGAAGAGGTGGTTTCCTCAGGAGGCTGCAGGCCTCTGTCAGCCGGCTGGAGCAGGAGACGAGCTCTGGGAGCAGAGCCAGGGCCTGAGCCCAGATCCCCATGCTGCAGCTCGGGGCCTGGGCACTGGCCAGCCACCCACCAGCCTGCGCGTCCCAAGGCCCCAGTGCCGCGGGAAGCTGGACGTGGACGACCCGCGTGCTGGAAACCCCGGGTTGCCTCCGAAGCTGTTTTTCTGTCTTGGGGGCTACTCAGGGGCACTGGCCAGGAAATGATGTGTCCTGACGCCGAGGAGCCTCTGTCCCTGGGAGGCACTTACCCCTTCCATGGGCGCGATGAGCAGGTCGTAGAGGGCACGCAGCGGGGGCTTGGAGAAGGAGCTCTGCCTCCTGGGGAGAGAGGAGGTCCCGTCCTTGATGGGCGACATGGTGCTACTGAACAGGCTCGTCATGCTCTGGCAGCTCCTGGGGAGAGGACGGAGATGCATGGGGCTGGGCCAGGGTGGGCTCCCTGCCTTCCTGAGCGGAGGCGGCATGCAGTACCCGCTGCGTCCCTCCCGGCCTGGTCCCCTGCTGTCCCTCCCAGGTACCTCTCACACAACAGCCAGCACGGGCAGAAGCTGCTAGTGAGCAGCTGTACTTGCGGCCTACGTTTCCATGGAGCCTTTCCACATGATCAAATGTCCCAAAGTGCGGCTCAAAGGACTTAATGACATCCTGCGTGGAGCCACAAGGTGAGGCAGATTCAGAGCCCTCAGGAGTCAGCAGTGGCCACCACCCGACAAGGAGGACAGCGCCCAGTGCCGATTGGAGCCACAGACAAGAAAAGAGCACGCCGGGGCCGCCAAGGCGCAGAGCAGCCACTGGGCACCTGAAGGCCGTGGCTGTGGCCTCGCGGGACAGGGACACTGTGAATGCTGACTATGCCGTGCCTGTAAAGGCTGCAGGGTTTAGGTTTGCTTTTCAATTGTTCTTTCTTCTTCTTGTGGGGGACAGGGGACTGAACCTAGGGCATCCGACCACAGAGCCGCATCTCAACCCTGTTTTGTGTTTTATTTAGAGACAGGGTCTCACTGAGTGGGTTAGGGCCTCGCTGTTGCTGAGGCTGGCCTTGAACTCGCCATCCTCCTGCCTCCTGCTGGGAAGACAGGTGTGCGCCATCGTGCCCGGCTGCTTTTCAATTTTCCTTCCTTTCTAGGCAGTTTTGTTAATGCAGAGTCTACTCACCCCACGAACCCCAAATATCCCACCCCAGCACAGGCTGAGGACCTGTCATTTGTCCAGAAACCTCTCCTGAGTGCCAACTGTCTGCCAGGCACTGTTGGGGTCTGTGGGGAACCTAGAGGGGACAAAATGCACGGGCAAGCATGAGCTGGAGAGAGGCGGGGACGCAGCCACACTTTCCTCTCAGAACTCCTTGTCAGCCCAGCCAGTGTGGCCCCAGCACAGCCGTCTGGTGATGGTCTCTGTGACAGCTGGAGAGTCAGGGATCTCTCAACCTCGAGTTTTGCCACATGCTGCAGGGACCTCGAGGGCAGGGATCATGTCTCACACCAGATGTACCATGGGCTTCTGGAAGTGCTGGCTGCTGGCAGTGACAGCAACTTGATTGTCACCTAAGAACAAGCCAGAGGGTGGCCTTCCTCCTGGTTCAGGACCTGTGTCATCTAAAACATGCTATAAAAGCTCTGTTTGTGTTTCCCAGAAATGGCTTCCACCCCTGGCGTCCCCACCCTTCTCGGGCCCTCCCCAGGGTCTCGCGGGACCTAGTCTGGGGGTGGTGCTGAGCCAAGCTTTGAGTCCCCCAGCTCCCCACCTGCTCCCGAGCAGAGCCGAGCAGCGGGATGTGGAGGCCTGCAGAGCCCACTCACGTCCCTGCACTCAGGAAATGTGTAGTGACAGGCGTCAGAGCCAGTGAAGCAGAGACAGTCCTGGAGTGACACTCAGGCTCGTGTAATGCCCCAGGACACACTGCAAAGAGCAGTGTTGCCCTGGGGGGCGACCACCAAACTGCTCTCCAGAGGAGAGGCACCAGTGTGACATGCGGTGTCTGTCACGCACTGTTCAGTAGGGTGACCACAGCTCTCAGCAGGTGGGAGCACGGCCCTCAGGAACCACATGGCTGTCAGACTGCGTGGGGTGGCAGGAGGCATCAGGCCCTCTGCCCTTGCGTCTTGTTTCACACCTTGCTGGGGTCTCTGCACCGGCCTGGCACTGCCCCAGGGTACCCAAGTCTGTGATTCCCCCCGAGGACATCCAGGGAGGTGCCATATGCCCAGCGATGTGCAGCCCCAGGTCCACACAGTGACTCTGCACCAAAGGACCCTGATGGAGACAACGCCCAGCCGTGGAGGTCCGCCAGCTCCCCTCGGGCTTCAGGAGACCAGGAGGGTCCCAGCTGCACAGGAAGACCCGGGACTCCCTCCTAAACTATCAGAACCAGTGCTCCAGGTGTCCGTCCTGCACAGGACCTGGGCCTAGGGCCCTGGACACCTGCACAGGGCGTTCCAACAGCTGAGCTGCTGAAAGAAGAGTCAGGGCGGGGCTGGAGCCCAAGCCGGCTACCAGCAGGAGAGGACACTTCTCTTCCTCCAACAGGGGCACAGCGGTGCCCGGGCTCAGGCCGCTGACTTCCACTGAGAGCAGACCCAGTGGGGGCAGCTTTCTGAAGAGCACTTTTTGATTTGGGCCATGGGGACAATTTGGGGTCAGCTGCCCGGTGGACAAGATGGAAGAGGTCATTCCAAACAGGGGCAAGAGAGGGAGAGCAGGTGGAAGTGGAGACGGGGTGCCGTGCCGTGCGTGTGGGAGCAGGGCCGCTGCAGGCTGGGCAGCAGCCAGACCGGTGGCCAGGCAGGGCGCTGGCTTCCTGTGGGGAGCCAGGTCCCCCTTCCTCTGCCCACCACTGGGCCGCAGTTCTGCCCATGGCATGAGCAGAGGGAGGCCACTTGCATCCCTCCCTGAGAGCTCTCCCCTGGGTCCCCTGCTTGACACCACAGCTACAATCAGGCCCTATGTCACTGTCACTCTGTGCCAACTTCAGTTGGGATGCCAGTCAGATGTCCCTGGCCACGGCTGGCAAACGTGCAGCCGTCCAGGGCACCCACCTGGTCTGCAAAGGTCTCCTGGGCCCACCTGGCACACGGCATGTTGGCATGTCTCTAGATGGTGCAGACTATCAGGAAGCCCACCTGTGGGATGGTCAGGCACTAGAGTCCCTGGCAGAGACCCCGAGTCTAAGTCTCAACAGAGCCATCCTGCCTGGCACCTGACCTTGTCCTGCTCCTTCCAAGGCCACTGAGCACACCTCTGCCCCAGATGCTACACTGGGTGCTGGCTCTCAGCCTCCTGTCCCGCCCTGTCCTGACCTGGCAGCTCGCTGACCAACCACATCTGGATTGACAGTTCCTGGGCACTGACCCCGCAGGCCCAGATTGGGTGGGCACATCTAGCCCTGGCCACATGGCCCCTTGTGCTGGTCAGGCAGGCAGATCTGGAGGTCACCTCCTGGTCTGTTCCAGGAGGGCGCCTATCCCTAGAGACCCTTTTCAAAGTAAAAACAAAATCCCAGAAATGGTGAGTTGATGGCTTAAAAAAAAACCACAAAAGAACCGAACTAACCTGAAACCAGAACTGAAGTTAGAGTCACCCACTCAGGACTTCTCCAGAGCAGCAGGCACCTGCCACCTGCAGCGGCCTCCCCAGCCAGCTCTGCACAGTCCCCAGGGGCTTCCCGTTCACCCCACGGTGGCAGCAGCAACCGGGCCCAGCTGTCCCGCTGCCTCGCTCTGGCAGCTGCAGGCCTGGCTCTGCCTTGGCAGTAGAATCTGTGACTCTTCAGGGTGCCCACAGCTTCCAGGTGCTGTCATCTGCCCAGGAGAGATGGCGCCACTGACAGGTGCCAGTGTACAGTTTAGCCCTCAGAGTCAGAGTTGGAGAGCTGTCCCAGGAGTGACAAGGCCCAGGGACAGCAGAGGTGGGGAGGAACCAAGAACAGAGGCGCTGGTACCCGGCTCCTCCTCCCCCGGCGCAGGTGTAGGGGGGCTTCAGGCTGGGATGCTGAGGCAGGACACAGCCACCAAACCCAGGTCTCTCACCTGCATGGTCACCAAGCGGCACAGAGCAATCTTAGGCTCAGTCCTTATGTCCACAGTGACCCAAGGCAGCTGCTGCACTGGGCCTGCTACTGGGTCTACTTGATAGCGACCAGCTAAGCAGCGGGTCCTCAGCCCTGAGCCTGGACAACCACAGATGTGGCGTGGACCCCAGCTGTGGAGACCTCATCAGGGCACACCACTTTCCACTCCCTTCCTACCTTTACTACGAAATGAAGGGTTGGGTTAAAGTTCTTGTTGGTCTCTTTGATTTTAAAAAAGAAAAGTTGATTCCATCTGGGTGAGTCCTCCCCCTGTGCTCCTCGCCCCCTCGCCCTGCCTGTGTTTCCCGGTGAGTGTCAGGCACGGGCCGTGAGGGTGCGCACAGCTTCCAGGTGCTGTCATCTGCCCAGGAGAGATGGTACTACTGACAGGTGCCTATGTGCAGTTTAGCCCTCAGAGTCACAGCTGGAGGGTGGCAGGCCCCTCAGGTTCTGGGGCCCCTGGGACAGCAGAATGCTCAGAGGCCAGGGGGTATGAACTGAGTGGGAGGGACAACTGGCCCCCTGCTGTCCTCTTTCCTGCACCCTGAAGGCCTGGGGCTTCTGTGGCTACAGGCCAGGGTTCCCAAGGACAGTGCCTCAGGCGCATTGCTCTGAATGTCCCCAGGACTTCCAGCTAGGTGACTGTTCTCAATCTTCCTCTCTGGGCTCCAAAAGGAGAGACCCGTCTCTCACTATTAGAACAGGAGCTAGAAAGGGGCACCTGCTGAAGCAGACCAGAGGCCCCTCCCAGAAGACCCTTACCATAATCAAGTAGACCCCCCCCATTTGTAACATATGAGTTCTCTTCTTATCAGAGAGCTTTGTAACAGAATACCCACAAAAATCTCTACAAAGAACTCAGCGTGGGCTTGGACTTGCTATTTCCTATGAGGACTAAGTTATTCTGTCTTGCAAAAACTAAGTTTGGCCACAGACTTGATGATGTCACTTCTCTTGTTGTAAAACTTCTGACTAATCTATAAATATGGGACAAAAAGCACTTTCTGTGAACTCAAGAAAAAAAATACGTCTATGTAGACTTCTGCAAAAATGCAAACCTCCAAGCTGCCCCCATCTTGGGTATAAAGTTCTAAGAATTTCCAGATTTGAGGCCCAGAGAATTTTAGGCAAGAGCCCCTCTGGACCCTGCAGCCAATAAACCTGCTTCCTGAAAATCCCTTGGGTGCCCAGCCTCTTCTAACCTACATCACTGCGACACCACCAGGCCTGCCATAGCCATCTTGCCCTCCCAGGGCGGTAAGGGGCGTTGTTTCTCCTTTGTAAGAGAGGAATTCAGGTCCAGAGAGGGCAAGAAGAGCAGTGTGCC